GGGGGGTGCTCCTCACCAGGCGCCTCCAGGCCCATGCGGGGCGGGAGCCCAGCCAGGAGCGCTTTGCCCCTGAGGCAGTGAGCCCACACAATGGAGGGGAGTTGAGGCAGCCTCTTGCTGCTGAACAAACTCCACTGTGTGTGTGGGGGGGGCGGTTCTTACGGGATGGGACCGCAGGGAAAGGGGGGAGGTTCAGGCTGTCGGCCCCCAGCCGCATTGCAGGGCGCACCTCCCCCAGGCCTCCAGGCCAGTCCCTGGCTTCTGTCTGGCTGTGTGGGTCAGGCGGGGCTGCTCAGGATTCTGGCCCAGGGGAAGGGAACGGCACCCTGTGGTTGGGGAAGGAAGAGTGCTCCGGGCCTGGGCTGAGGAAGGGCAGGGAATAGCGTATGAAGCCCTTGTACCTAGCAAGGGGTGGGGGTGGGGGCCACCGCAGACAGGGCGGGGTGGACTAGACAGGGTCTGGTTGGGAACCAGGGACAGAGACGGGGGTAAGGACAGAGGCGGGTGGACAGGACAGGCTGGGGTGAGGGCTGGGATGGAGAGAGAGGGGGACTGGGGTTTGGCACTCAGCAGGCACAGGTATATGGTGCAGAGATAAGGATGGAACAAGGATAGGCATGGAACTGGGATGGAGAGGAGATCATACATGGTGGTTAGGCATTGGACAGAGACAGGGATGTAGATGGGGTAGGAACTAGGGGAATGACGAGGGGTAGAGAAACCAAAATGGGGATGAAGGAGGACAGGGATGGTGGATGAGGGATGGGCACTGGGGACAGCAAGCAGGACTGAGAGTGGGATAGGAACTGGAGGATGGGGATGGGGAACAGATCCGGGCGGGAACAGAAATGGGGGATGGGTTTCTGGGCAGGAACAGGGGTGCTGAGGGATGCAGAGACCCAGGAGATGGGGATGGCAAATGTGAATGGGGACTGGAATGGGCAATGGGGGGGACAAGGAAGGAGATGGGAGACAGGGACAGAGACAGGAGCTGAGGACAGGTATGGAGGACAAGTCAGAGGAAAAGGCAGAAGACGGGCAGGATTAGGCTATGGGAGGGGGCCGGGCAGGTGGAAGCGCTGATACCTCCTTCCAGACCCCACTATAGCGTGAGGGGGCGGGGACCGCTGGTGGGGCGGGCTCTGCCCTTGGGCCCGGCACCCCCTCCCCCTCAGCCCCGCCTGCCCGCTTGCTCGAGGCCGGCAGCGCAAGGCTACCGTTATCTGAATTTTGATTTTATTTTATTTTATTTTATTTCCCTGCTTCCTAGAGCCGGCGCGGTCCCCCCGGGAAAGGCCGCCCCCCGCCCCCCGCCCCGCGCCACACTTTATTATTGCAATAAATGTGCCTATAAAGGCGCGGGCTCCGGGGCGCGGTGGTGGTGGGGGGGGGAGAGCCGCGGAGCGGGGATGTAATTTCCCGAAGCCGGAGCCGGAGGGGGAGTGGGCGGGGTGGAGGTGGAGGAGGGGCAGGAGAGGGAGAGGGGGAGACTCGCCAATTTCTAGCGCTCAAGGCAGCGCTTCCTGCTCCCCATTCCCACCTCGCAGCTCGCTTGCACCCCACACCCGCGACTCCCCATTGCGCCCAGCCGTGCTTGAGCCCTGGGACCCCTACCTACCCCATGACCCTGCCCTCTCTCTGTCACCCTGTCCCCTTCCTGGACCCCACCCATGTGGAGTTGCTGGGCTCTGTTCAAAGTTCCCCATCTCCTTGACAATGACTTCATCTCTGAGCCCTGGGATGCCCCTTCCACTTACCTGGTCTCTTTCAACGTTTATGTCGCCCCTTCCCAGTGACCTCGCCTCTGACCCCGGTGACCCTTCATTACCTTGTTTCTGTCTCCCAATTACCTCACCTCTTCCCCACTCACCCAGTCCTGGATCTCCAATTCCTCCCCCACCCCAACCCCATGACCCTCTAAATTTTCCTTTCCAATGAGCACCTCTCTCATACATGCAGGCTCTGGCCCAAGGGAGCTCTCACAGGGCCCCCCTTCTCCTGTGCCCCCGGCCCAGCTGCGGCCCCTGATTACCCCAAATCCCCGCCAAGGCTCTGGGCCCTCACCCAGGCTGCACGTGCCTAAGTGGCCCAGCCAGAGATTAGCTGGGGGGCTGGAGAGGGGTATGAGGCAGGAGGGGGTGGCTAGACGCAGGTCTGGGGCCCCGCCGGCTCTGAGAGGCTCGCTTAGGCCTAATCCTGCCCTGAGGCAGGATAGAGATGGAAGGTCCCACAGGGCCCCGCCCCTGCCCTCCCCCAGCTAATTAGTAATTAGTGATTAGTGATTAGTGACTATTGATCGCCTGCTGCTTCTCCTAGTAGGCAGCAGCTTTGGCAAGGGGTGGGGAACGCAAGAGACAGAGGGGGAGAGGAGTCAGAGACCTTATCAGAAAGATCCTGAAGAAGGTCTGGCCAAGAGGCCACAGCCCCCGGGGTAACAGAAGCCCGGAGTCCCAGGCCCAGGAGGGGGCTGGGGAGGCAGGGTTGTTAGCGTTGGACAATTAGGATTTTCCAAAGAGCTACCTTGTAAACTGTCCCCCACCAGCCTCTTACCGTGTCAACATATTATCCCAGCCTGGCACTGAGACAGCCCTGAGCTCTCACACACACGCCTAAGCCACACGCAGATACATGAACACATCCTGAGCCTCACAATCCCATACCCACACCCCAAGGCACTCCAAACCACAAGCACACAGACTCTCACAAACACCAGAGACTTACCTACAGGCAACACATGACCCCAGCACACAGATGCACTCGGAGACCCACCTTGGGACAGGCCCATGTGCGCATACTGTACTCACAAGTGCGCACAAGCACACACAGATAGGTACTTGGACACACAAACACTTCTCTACACACACTCTGCCATGCAGCTACACATATGTACACACCCACAGGCCTTACATGCGTGCAAACACTGATTCTCACATGCACACAAGCTGGATCAAATGGCAGATACATTCTCCCCCACTGACTCCAACACGGAGGCCCACCCACAACCAGCTCACACACACTCAGATCCCCATCGCTCACATCCTCACGCTTACTCTCCTTCAAGTCTTCACCAGATGTTTCATTCCCCTTCAGGGGGCAAAGGAAATTAAACCAGATCTGTCCACAGGGGAGTTTATTTGATGGGGAGAGTGGCGAGGAGAGTGGGGAGGAAGTACAAAGGAGGGGCAGGGGAGTAGCATCCTTACCTCCTCTCCCCCAGGCCTTCACATACACAGATGGGTTGTGGGGCCCAGGCCCCCTCCTGCAGTAGTCTAAGGGCAGAGCTGGGCAGCGAGTCCAAAGGGAGCTCCTGCCAGGGGAAGCAGTTTTTGTGAAGGGGGCCCCTATGCCCACATTCCAGCCCCTCAAGGTCACCAGGCGCGTTTGGGAGAATCAGGAAGCTCAATCACCACCTTCACTAGGACAGCCCCTAACCTGCTGGAGTTGCTGAGTTTGATTTGGCTGAGCAGGTGGGGTCCAAGTGTTGGCAGGGGAAAGGTAGGATGACTACACCCCTTGCAGATTCCGCAGGGGCTCGGGGCTGGTGTGCAGGGAGTAGGGGTTTAGGAATCTACCTGCCTGCCGCCAAGCTAGGAAAGTCGCAGTTAGGGTGCAGGAAACGGAAAAGTCCTGGGCAAGGAGGCCATGAAAGGAGACGGGGTCCAGGGCCTAGGCCCCCATTGTGGGGCACATAGCAGGGCACTGTGAAGCAGGCGCTTGCACTCACCCCTTCAAAGTCAACACCACACACCACAGTAGCTTACACATGCACCCTGGACCGAAGCCTGGCTGCCCCAGACACATGCATGCACACAGGTGCACGCGCTGACCCACACACTCCGCATCAGCACATAGGAGCACACCGCGCTCGGGAGCTGAAGCCTCTAAGTTGGGAGGGAGGCAGATCAAATCTGGGCCTCCTTAGCCTCGGTGCTCGCCCCAGAGCCTGGGGGTGGGGGGGAAAGAGGCAGCCGTGGGATGTGGGAGCAAGGAGAGCACAGGAAGAGAGACTCCCCTCCCAGACAGCCCCCACCCTCATCAGCTGGGCGCGAGAGAGGGGTGTGTCTGCGAGGTTTGTGCAGGGGAGAAGGTGTCTCCGCGAGAAATGTGATGGGAGATTGTAGCCAAGTTCGGCCGAATCTGTGCGCGCGCGTGTGTTCGGGTCGTGTATGCTCGGAACACAGTGCCCGCCTGGCATTGTGACAAGTGCAGAGAAGAGAAATGGGAAGGCGGGGTGGAAGGGTGGAAGGACAGACAGCGAGGAAGGCGAGCGAGGTTGGCGCGGAAAGACGGCAAGGCTGACACCCTGCTGGCTTGTCTGTCTGTCTCGCACTCCCGCTCAGTCTGGCGCACTCGCGGGTCGGGCTTCGTCCCCTCCCCCGCCGAGCCTGGAGCCAGATCCAAGTCGGGCCTCCACCCCGGCACCCACCCCCAACCCTCAGCCAACTTGGGCTGGGAGAGCGCCCGTCCTGGATCGGGGAGTCTGTCTGTCCGCGTCCCCCGCGCCGCGCAAAGTTGGGACGCTCCGCGCTGGGGGCCGGGCGGGCGCACGGAGCCCCTCGCACTCTGGGACCTTTGCGTCCCGGACCCCGGCGCTCCCGCTCCAGCCCGGCTCGTCCTTACCTTCCTCAGGAGCCACGGACCAAAGAGCAAGAGAAGCCATTCCGGGAGCAGCCGCATCTTCCCGGGCGGCCTAGCGGGGCGGGCGGGACGGGTCCC